ACCCCCACCCCCCTATCCCCCCGCCGACTCTCATACCAGCCGACACCACTTCTGACTCCAGCTCTAGCTCCTACAGACTATGCAGGTCAACATTTGATGCACAAATTCAGCTCCTGCATTTTTGTGTCCACCTGGGCCCACATCTTTTCAGGCATATATTTGTCTCCTGTGTAGGCAGAAACCTGAAGTATTTCTTTTGTGTCCCAAAAGCTCACACCTGAAGCATGTAGCCTGAAGCTGGGGCTTAACCATTAGTTCTTAGAGGGAAGCAGTTGGGACTAATACTGCTTAGCTTTCCACTGCAGAAGAGGGTCTCAGAGACGTGGGCCAGGCGAGAATCTGCTGCAGAGTGGGGGTGCCCAAGGCCCCCGAGACATACAGGGAAGCTTGAAGTAGCCGAGTAAAGAAGTAGCCAGACGTGGCCAGAAATAAGAGGAGGAGGAATAATGGCCTCAGGGAAACTAAAAATAGGTGGCGAAGTGGCCAAGTCTTAGGGCTCAGCTCAGAGTCACACAGCACTCAGTATCCCATGTGGGGACCGACAATACCTCACACAGACCTCGCTGGTCTGGAGGTGTGTCAGCAAGGGCCTTCGGCCTGCTCTGATAACTGGATTGCTGGAGCCTAATGAAATCAGAGGCATCACACATGTAAGAGTATTCATTTATGAGCAAATTGGAAGCCTTACTGTTGTGGTCACAGGTCTGTGTGCCATCAGGAAAGCACAATGACCAGGAAAGCCACCTGCTTTGGCAATGCCAAGGACTCAGGCACAGCATCCACCTTCCATACTCTGGGCCTCTCTTCTCCCTGCCCTTCCAGCACACTCACCTCAAAGGATGCCCGGGGACATGGCCTCAGGGGCAGGTTGGTCCCGATTCTTCTCACTACACTGCGAGCAGCCCCATGTGGCTTGTTTTGCCAGATTGGGATGGTCTAGAGCAGAGAGGGGTAAGCACAACCTCAGAGATGAGTCCCAGTACCGTCCCCATCCTCTTCCCCCATCCCCTTTCCTTTACCAGGGAAACTGAATTCCTCAATCCCAGGGACAGGGCATTGGCGGGGGGCGGGGTGTAAGTCAAGTCTCAATTATAAGTGACGGCAGGTTCCCCAGCTGTTAGTCTTCACCTTGGCAAACCACCTAAGGGGACACCTGCTGCTGCCAAGGCACAGCCAACGTTGGGAGGATTGGCGAAGGGCTGAGGAAGTAGCTGGGTGCAGGGACCATCCAGGCTTCCCTCCCTTCCCTCGGCATAGAAAGGCAGAAAACAGTGACTCCTTAACTGCCCCCTGAATCATAGTTGTTTCTGCCTGGGGGGAGTGTGTGGAAGGGTGGCCTCCAACCAGTTCCAGGCCTCCAGGGGAAAGGAAGGATTAATTGGCGTTTTGGAACTTCAGCAGGCCCTGTGCTCAGCTTCTGCACCACACCTGCCCTGGGAATGCCCCTCACCACACTGGCTTCCATTCCCGACGTTTCAACTGGCTCCTGCACTTGAAGGACGAGGCAGCCACAGGGCAGCTCCGGGAGGCAGGCAGGAGGCGTGATGCCTTCATATCAGGCCATCTTCAGGAACACCAGAGTTCCCATCCTGTGAAACAGCCTCACAATGGGGACTTAATACCATCACACAAGCCCCACAAAACCAGGCACTGCAGAGCCATGACTAACACCAAGGTTTCTCTGACATTTCACAGGGGAGAAAACCAGCCCAACATGCTGCCCTCACCAAATCCAGATCCTTAGAGGTTTTGTTCCAAACTTGTTGTGTGAGCTTGGACAACCCTGGGAGCCCTCCTGGGCCCTTGGTTTCCTGAAGCAAAGCTTGTAAAGAGGGAACAGAACTCTTTGGTAGTTAAAAAGCTCATGGGAAAGCCAAATAGTAGGTATTAATACCACCCAAGCCCAGCGTTCATTCTTGACGCTGAGATGTGAGAGCCCAGCATGTGCCACCCAGCCTATAGGCTGGACCCCTGCCAGGGGGGGAGGTAAATGAACAGCCGGCTCGCGCCAATTTCAGTCTACTAGGCTACAGGGAAGAGTCTAATTTTTTTAATCCTGGCTCAGCCATCTATTGGCTTTGTAGACATAGACAAGTCACTTAACCTTCCCAAATGCTGGATTCTGCACCTGTAAAAAGAGGACAAGAACAGCTGCCAGTCTTGGCTACTTTAAGATCAGTTGGTGAAGCAGGGAATTTTGAAGTGTTTAATGAACTGTTACAATGTGACAGATGGGGGGTGTCACCCTGACTGGATTCTTCATAGCTGCCCCTGCGTGGTGAGCAGATGCAATCAGTGAGGAAACTCATTCCCCTGCTCATCTAACACTTACCACCACCCACCCTGTGCTGGGCACTGTAAGGGCTGTGGACGAGTAAGACACAGCCGTGCTCTCAAGGAACTAGAGGAGAAAGCACCTGAATCCATAATTCTAGCCAAGGCTGGATATCACTGCTCAAGAAAGGCTTGCTAGGCAGGTGGCCCGGGGGGTTTAGCCCTCTGGCCCCAAGGCCCTATGGGGAGTTCAGAGTTCAGGAAGGGAAGAAAATCAGCAACAACACCGCAGGTCCAGGTCAGGAAGGTGCGCGATTCATGAAGAGGAGCAGAGTACGAAGTTGTAAAGATTAACGGGGGGTGGGGGTGTGGGGGGGTCAAGTCATGAGGGCTGGGAGTGCCCAGGTGAGAAGTAACTGGGTTGCCAAGGGCAGCCTCTGAACAGGGAGGGGATGGACTGACTACCAAAGCTGTTCTTTCTGTAAACCTCCCGGAGGAGTTATCACTCACTTTGTGGGGAAAGGAAGCTGGAGACAGGAAGGTCACTCAAGTCTCCTGCATGGGCTCAACTTCTCAGTACAGATCAAGCCTTTTACCAAAGTACCTCTGTGTACGAAGCTCTGCTGAATGTCAGTGCCTGCCACAAGTTCCCCGTAACAGTGCTTCTCCTCCTTTTCTCACTTTAGTCATTGCAGCCACTTCCCTCCAAATATGCAGCTGCACCTAACTCACACAACAGCCAGAGGGATATTGCTAGCCACATTGTTCCTTTGTTTAGAACCGCTATGGCTTGCGCTAACTGGATAAAATCTAGCCGCCTCAGCAGGGCCTGCAAGTCCTCCAACACCAGGCCCAACCCTCAGTGGCCCAACCTCAGCACAGCCTACAAGGCCTATAATCTGGCGGCTGCACACACTTCATGGCCACACCTCCTGCGTTCCCCTTGCCCTTCAGCCATACTGGCCTTCTTTCAGCACCCAACACCACCTCGGGGGCCTTGTCCATAATATTCCCTCTGCTTGAAACACCAGCACCCCCTTCCTCAAGCTCATTCTTAATCATTCTTCCGAGCTCGGCTTAAGCATCACCTTCCCTTCCCTGACAGTCAGGTCCTTTATTATTCATGCCACAGCAACCCTGCATTTCCTCTGGAGTCCTCTCCCGACAGTAGTAATTAGGTGACTGTAAAGAGCCATGTGTCAGGGGGGCAGGGACTTCCCTTAGGCACAGCACAATGCCTGGCAGAGTAAGCACTTAAAACATTTGTCCAGTTAAGAAATGAATGAACGAGAGCACCGACTTAGCCTTCATACCCTCCCCCACCCCATCACACACTGTCACTGGCTAGAAGACGCGCCCCAGTTCCTGGCAACGCTGGTAGGTTCTTACCACCTCTGCGCTCCCACAGCCCCTGTCGAGGCTGTTGTCATGTTGACACACGGTCCCGCAGGAGACAGCTCCTCCAGGGCAGGGCCTGGTCTCATCAACCCTGGGTCCCGGGCGCCCCACTGGGGGCCGCCACGCTCAGCGGAACTTTGCCCCGCGGACAGCTGCGCCAGGGGAGCCGCTACGGGGACCTTGCCCGGGATACGCCTCCCCTCCCCCGCAACAGCCCGACCCGACGGGGGCAAGGTCGGCCAATTCTCGCTGCCGACCCACAGGCCCCGGGCCCGGCCCCAGAAGGGGCGAGGAGACGGCAGAGGCGGCGGCCCGGCTCGCCGAGGACCGCGGCCGACACGAGAAGCTTCTGGTGTAGCTCGGCCGCCGAAGCTGGGTGACTCGGGCGAGCAACACCCCCTTCGGGACTCAGTTTCCCCCCGTGCCAAATGAGGCGGACAACTCCGGCTCCCGCGAGAACTGGCGCGGGAACTGGAACCGAGGGCTCCGCACGCCGCCTGACACTAGGCCGCGCGGACTGCCGAGTCAGAAGGCCCCGCTCCTTCCACCCGGGCTGCACTCGGACCTAGTCTCACCTCAGCCACCGGCTCCGGGACTCACTCACCTCACGGCCCCTCCTACCACCAGCGGGCCGCCCAACATCAACTGCCCTCACTTCCGCTGGCCCGCCCCCCCCCGGAAGCGGTCCTTTGCAGCTGCGCACCGAGCCGCGCCCCGCCGCTTCCACGGAAAGCGGGCCTCTCTGGCTGCCGGGCAAGCACAGCTTCTGCGTGGGCGGGGCGGTGGGCGGGCAGCACGTGCGGTCCCCGAGGGAGGGACACACCCATTATCGAGACCACGCCCCCTCCTGTCGGAGCCCTAGGGAAAAATTGACGAACCTTCTATAATAGACGCCGGAGGCCTGATTGGTCCTGTCCTCCGCTGTTCTCCGTTTCCTTGTTGCTGTTAGTCCCAATCCAACCTTTGGAAGCTGAGGTCTGACTATGTTGCTGCTCAGACCCCAAATTGTGTAGTGTCTGTTGTCCCCACCCCTACTGCAAACTTCAGAATCCTCCACCCTGGAGTTCCAGGTCTTCCGGTGGCCGAGCTTGCCTTGCATCTCTCCCTGGTCCCCTTCACAGTTCATACTTACCACCCAAGACCCTCTCCAGCCTTCTCTCCAGCAAGAATGGGCTTCTTCTCTGCCTCCTGCCCTCCAGCTTTGTAGCTTCTATTTTAGCCTTTATGGTTTCTCTCTCTCTCTCTCCCCTCGCTCTGTCTCACACACACAGTATTTTCAGTGAGTTGATCAGATGGGCAGGATAGATTGATGGGAAGACCCCAGAGGCACTGGGAAAGACACCCACATTCCTTCCAAGCTCGTTCAACCCACTCCCTCCTTGTGCTGAAACCCTCCAGGTCCTGGTCTCCATGGCATCCAGGCCTGGGTCACGTGCCCCCCTCTGACCTCAGCAGGTGTCTGTGCCTGGCTCACAGACTGCAGTTCTTTGGCCTCAAAGCCTGCAACTCCCAGTCACACAGGGCCTCACCGGTCAGAACTCTGTGCTTGCTTTAATGTTCTGCTGTTGCCCTCCTGAAAGTCATTTTTTTTTTTTAACAAGGGGTCCTGCTTTTTCATTTTGCACTGGATCCTGCAAATTATGTAGCTGGTCCTGGCCAGATACCTAAGGAGGTTGTCCATCCTGATTCCCACCATATTTCAAATGATGATGGTTGACTTCCAGCCCTCTTTCGAAGATGGCAATTACTTTCATCACTGATTTCCCTCTCCTCGGCAATGACAAATCTTGCAAAGCCATCCTTTCCTGGGTATGGTAATGCTCTTGGTGCTTCACCCAGATCCCCTCTACTCTGCCAGTGAACCCATCCTCCAGCTGCTGTGTTGGCTGCTTACAGCTGCCCTCTTTTGTGGAAAATTGCCCCTGCAGAAGGGAGAATGGAAGCCCTATTTTGGGAAGTTACTCCACCCCCAAGTCAATGAATGACTGATACAAGCTACAAAAGGCCGGTTCGACTCTAGTGTGGTTTATGCTCCAGTGCCCTTCTCCTGTGATCAGGCCAAGAGTCAGCTTTGAGACTCTATACCTGCTCAGCGTTTCTCTTTTCCCCATTCTGCTTCACTCCTTTTACAGGTTTTTCCTGAGTGCACTCCCTCAAAAAAATTACTTAATGCCTGTCTCGGGCTCTGCTTCTAAGATAATGGGTTTAATTTCAGAATCTTTATAACACGGAGCATCAGATTCTAAAAACAGTAAGTTCTACTACTGGGTCTATCACAAACTTATTTTAAGAAAGTCACTCAAGCCCTCTGCTGACAGATAAGCTAGTCTGTCCTCAAAGGCATTCCAGCCTCATTCCCTTGCCCATCTGGCAAGCCAGTCCCACAGGAGTCAGATCAAGGACAGAGGTGAACAACATTCCACTCAAAGGCACTTAGAACCACCCTAGTCTCTCCAATTTTATTATAGGACATGGGACAGGTGAGGGAAGAGGCAGAGGGGTGACAAGGCAGCTGGGGGCCCTCCCCCACCATGAGCTTGGAGGTCAGAGGCATCTGATAAGGATGCAGAAAGCCCAAGCAATCAGTGCCTTTCTGCCACCCATGCCCGAAGCAGAGATGGACTTAGGGGCCGTCCCTCCCTGTAAAGGGCATGGAAGCACTGCCTCCCAGGATATACTGGACTTGGCTGAGCTTGCTAGTTCATGCCTCATTACGTCTGGAGATCAGAGGGGAATGAGACATTTTGGTGTGAAAAGCTTTCTTTTTCACCTCAGTGAAAACAGGCAGAGGAGAGAAGCGGGGATGCAATGCAAAACAAAACACAACTCCGGCTGAATCTCAACTCTGCCGCTGAGCGACCTGGGGCAAGTCACTGTATTTCCCTGAGACTCAGTTTCTTCATCTGTAAAATGGGAAGTTAATATCTGCCTCACAGGTTTGTTGTGAAGCTTAAATGAGAAAATACATGTAATCTTCACAAAGTGCCTCAGTGTGGATACGCCAATGACAGGCAGGGGAGCTCAACAGATGGGAGGCCTGGGAGTGTGTGTGAGGAACTGTCACCTTCCTTCCTCTCCCAGGTTTAAGAGTGAGCCCCTGTGGGGCAGGGCCGGGGGAGCAGGCTTGGCTCCGAGGCCTTAATGAAAGCCCTAGGGCCCCTCATGGGGCCTGCGTGGAGGACAAGGACAGAGTTGGGGTACACTGACTGTTTTTAAAAAGCTAGAAGAGAAGGAAGAGAGGAATATTTCTTCCCATAGGTGCAACTGCAAAGACATCAAGTTGGATCCATCTAGGATTTCAGATCCAGCCATCATGGGGCAGCTGCTGGGGGAAACCACTGTCCCTTCTCCTCAGTGCTAGGGTTATCAAAAATACCTACAAACTGTGAGAAAGTTCACATATAAAAACACTTTTCTGTGTGTATAAAAAAAGAGAATGGCTGGAGTCAGTGGCTTGGGACGTGGACCAACGTCCTAAGTGTGGCCAAGGAGTTTCAGTGGCCACCCAATGGGGGGCAAACTGGTCTGGGCTGCCCTGCCAGTGCTGGCTCGGGGTGGGGGGTGGGGGGTGCTGTATTCTTTAGCTGGGCTACACATCTGTGGAGCTGAGGTCTCAGGGGCAGGAGGCGATGCCAGGGCTCTGGCTCCAGCAATCCTACTGTGACCCTGTGCTGGGACAGGCAGTGGGGGTGCCTTGGGCCTGGGGCTCAGGGACTCTTCAGTGGAGCCCCTTGCTAAGGCAGAAGCCTACTTCACACGAAACCTTCCCAGACACCTGGCCTCCAGCCAGACCCCAAACAGTTTCTGGCGTCCTATCACTAGGCGGATAGGCTGGTCTGGGGAGCCGCGGTCTGGGGTACTGGGGAGCCGCGGTCTGGGGTACTGTATGACTTCCCTTCTGAAGGAGGGTTCCGCCTGGAGCCTCCACACGGCTGTCTTCAGCTGAGACTGAGCCCACTGGGGACACCAGGTACAGGAGGGCGGCCAGGGCTGTGGCCAGGAAGCAGGCTCCACACAAACAACACTTCTCTGGCTCTCCCTTCCCCCTGACCCATGTCAGGGCTTCTTGATGTTCCTTTCAGGAGGGGGTGCAAGTAAGGAGAAAGGGGTGGCCCTGTTTTCCGAGCACCCACTCTTCCCTATCCTGCACCCCACAAGGGCCTTGACTATGTGCCTGAGAGGGTGAGGTCCAGGGAAATGACCCCAGGCTTCACTTTGGGGGGTTCCAAACAGCTTCTGGAGCCAGGCCGATGGTGGCAGCTGGAGCTAGAGGTTGACCCATCCAGTCAGCCCAGGCACCCCCTTGGCAACCCCCCAAAACAGAGGCAAAGCTACGATGGCTACCCTCAGTTGACCTCCGACCTCACAGGCAGCCTGGGAATGGAGGGGGTGGGAGTGCCTGACGTTTGAAATGTGTGAGGACTGCTCTGGCTCTGGGGCCGGGGGGGCCTGTCCATCAGCGCTGGAGGCCTCTTTCCAGCTGCCCCCGCCTGGGCACACTAGGGCTGGAGGAAGGGCAGGCCGCGCCGAAGGCCCTCCTTCAGGAACTGCATGTAGGTGGCCGTGGACGGGTCTTCAAAGGTGGATGAGAAGCTGAAGACATTGTTTTCGATGTCCTCAGGCTTCATGGAGGTGATGTCCAAGAAGTAGTTGGCGTTGATGTGGTGGACCTGGGAGAAGGGCTGGGTGAGGAGAGCAGGGCCCACCCAGGCGCACGGCCCCTCCGCTCCCTGTCTGCTCAGGTTCCCTTGGGAGAAGCGGCCACTCTCAGGCCTCGATTGTCCTCGCTTTGAGGGGGATGGCAGACAAGCGGGGCAGAACCTGACCCCAGTTCCTGCCTCTGTTCACACAGAGCCCTCTGACCACAGAGCTCCCACACCTCGTCCGCCCACTGGGCGAAAACCTAACGCCTTTCAACGCCACCTTTCCCTTGCCCCTACCCTCATGACCCCTCTGCGCCCGTGACTCCTGAACTCCACACTGCCTTCTGTCAGGAGAGCAGGTGATGCTGAGGATCGCAGGCAGGCCTGGTTCAAAGCCAGCTACACTCCTCACTTGTGCAACTTTTGCCAAGTCTTGGACCTTTTGAGCCTCAGTATCCTTGTCTATAAAGTGGGCATTTGGGGGCCGGCTGAGTGGTGCGATGGTTAACAACTGGCTTGGGATGCCAGAGGGCCCCGGTTCGGATCCCACATATGAGGGCCAGTGACACTGCCCTCTACAGCTAAGATGCTAAACTTGGGCCAGTGAAGCAATGTCCTCCACAACTAGACTGAAGAACAAAAGGACAGCAACTTGTCTGTTCCCCTTCCCCCAATTCCCCAGTGCGGTTCCCATCCCCCCAATTTCCCAATAAAAAAAATCTTAAAAAGAAAAAAAGTGGGCATTTGGGATCATCTAGCTCCTAAAGCTGCTGTGAGAATCCAACGAGAGCACGTGTGCATGCTTGTAAGGGGCCCTTTGGAGAGGTAGGGTCTTGAAGCTTGGCTTGGCCTGGTGCGTCCCCTGGTCCTCTCTGCCTGTCACAAGGCCTGGCCCCTCTTTCCTCCTCCTAGCTCAGGGCTGGCCACAATGGTCCAAGGTGAGCCTTCCCTTCCAGGCCATTTCCTATCCACTCTGCTGCTACACTGTGCCCACTGCTGCCCGGTCCCCAAAGTGCTATTGAGGTCCTCCTTCCCATAGGAGCATCCTGACACCTGCACGAGGCAGGCAGAGTGGGAACCAGGATTCCTATTTTACAGATGGGATAGCTGAGGCTCAGACTGGCTAAGAGACCAGCACAGAATTGGTGGAGCCAGACCCGAAGCCTGATGAGGTGTGCAAGTCCCTGCCCCTGGCTGGCTGCCTCCTCTGCCCCAGGTGCCTGGCCCCGGGCTGGTACAGGTGGTGGGGCTGTCCTACCACGGTGCCATTGGGCAAGCAGATCATCATCTCCACGGGGAAGCTGTACTTCTCCAGGTGCAGGTCAGCCAGCTTCTTGTGGGAAGGGTTGTCCTGGTTGTTCTGTGGGGACAGTTGGGCATAGTCCTGCCGTGGCCCCCAGCACTGTCCCAGGGGCTTCCAAGGGGCTGTTGCCACCCACCCTCCACTCACCTGCAGGTCCTCCAGCTCCTTCACCAGGGACCAGGTGCTAATGAAGCTGTCATTGAGGAGGGCGAGGATGGGCGAACTTTCCAGGACGGTCTCCCGGAGAGTCCGCCCTGAACCTGTTCAGGGAGAGGCAAGGCCGGGAGAGTGAGGCACCACCACAGGCCTGACTGGTTTCAATCAGCACCAAACCTCAGGGACCACAGAATGGTCTGTGCACCCAGGTGAAACAGATTCAAAGAGCCTGTAGGTGCTGAACAAATGGTAGCTGTCATTCACATCAGTAACATCCTGGCATCCAGGGCTGAGATTTAGGGTGGAGCCCTGCCTGGCCCAGGGACTTGTAGTCTTAAGCCCATGAAACTCTGTGCCCCAGGGCCTTTGTACAGACTATTCGTCTCCTGCTCATCTTTGAAAGTCTCAGCTTAAGCGTCACTTCTCTAAGAAGTCTTCCCGACTCCCCCAGTTCCACACTCTCGTACCACTGTGGCCTCAGCCTGTGTAACACTCGCCAGGCGCGTCCTTATTCAGTCGGTGTCTGCTTTCGGCATTCCACTGTGCGCTCCCCAAGCACAGGGACCACTTCGGACTTCCTCACTGCAAGACTCCCAGCAGCTAGCCTAGGGCCTGGCACAGGAGGCGCCCAGGAGGTTTGCTGAGTGGCTGCATGAGGACAGGCCCACCGTTTTACTCATCTTTGTACCCGCTGTCTGATACTCAAAGAACTTTGCACCCAGTAGGTCTTTGGTGGCTTTCCCGGATAAGTGAATGCCTGCCCAGCCTCTGGCACTATTGTTTTCTGTCATTTTTGTGTCACACTTTACAGAGCACAGGCACGTTCACATCCATTTTCAGGACTCTGGGAGACAAGTATGTTACCCCTTCTTCACTGTTGAGGCTCAGAAAGGGGAAGGCACTTGGCCAAGGTTCCCAGGCTGAAAATGGCTGAGCTGGGCTCTTTCTCTGAGCTCAGCACAGAAACTCCCCCAAGCCCTCAGCCCACACCCCTGCCCTGTGGCATCCCCAAGTCCCTCATGCTCCAATAGGAGAGGCCCGTTGGTCTCAGAGCCTCCTGCACCCTACAAGGTGTGAAGTCTCCCCCGCAATCTCTCCTTGGACTGGCCAGGTCTCCCTCACCTCAGCAGGACTGGTCGTCCAGGGCCCCCCACAGCAGGATCGAGTGCACCAGCTTGTTCTTGGCCCTGGCTTGGTCGAAGGCCTCGGTGAATGGCAGGTAGGTGACCTGGGGCCAAGCGAGACAGAGAGAAGCTACTGTGTGTGGCCAGGGTCCCATCAGGGAAAGAGTGTGGAATGCGTATGTGTGTGTAGTATATAGATTGTGTGTATACATGCAAGTGTGTTTGTAACGCGTGTGTAGTATGTATAGTATTGTATATACACGTGTTTGTGATATGCATGTAGTATATATAGTGTGTGTATATAAACGTGTGTGTTTGTAAATGTGTGTAGTATGGATAGTGTGTGTATACACACGTGTTAATGTGTGTATATACATGTACGTGTATAATGTGTATGTGTGTGCATGCGTGTGTGTGAGGGAGGTTGCTGAAATGGGGGATGGGGATGCCTCCTCCAAGTTCCGATGGTGAAGGGGAGGCTCCTCTGGCCCCACTGAGCCCTGCAGGGGGGCAGCCTCAGCAGCAAGCCCTGCACGAAGCCCAGAGCCCCGTGCCCACTGCTGCGCCCACAGCCCCAGCCCCAGCCCCGTGGAGCCTGACCCCGGCCCTCACCCCTGCCCAGCCTCACCTTCTTAAAAGGGTACATGGCCACCTCCAGGCGCCGGGCGGCCTCCTCCCAGCTCAGCTCCTGCTGCCACTTGATCTCCTCAAACACAAACTGGAGGGGCTCCCCCGAGGGCAGGCGGCTGTCGATCATGTTGCCGTCCTCGTCCAGGATCACGGAGGGCACTGAGGGGCCTGTGGCCTCCAGCTCCATCTAGGCCGGAGGTCAGGGAGGGGTGACATCAGGGAGGGATGTCAGAGATGGGCAAGGATCCTCAAGGGGCCCTGAGAGACCCTCAAAGATCCCCCACTCACTGCAGAGGTGGGGAGACAGGCCCAGGGAAGGGCAGGGTCTGGCTAAGGCTATGTGGTGAGTCCGGGTCACAGCCAGGGCTCCTTCCACTGTGGGAAGCTGTCTGAGGGCCATGGCGGATGTTGTGTGCAGGAACAGGTGGCTTCCCTGACTCCTGTTTTGGGGACAGTTGGTTTCAGCGTGCCTGGAGCTCTGTCCTTCACCTTGGACTTCCCTGAGGCTCCCAGCCAGCTGGGCCTTCCCTGCAGCCAGGCGGGGAGGACCCGTGACAGAGCCTTGCAGCTGAGCCCCGCCTTCCTAAGTGGGCAGGGACCATCTGAGCGCTCACCTGGGGTATGTAGCCAATGTCCACCTCCATGTTGCTGCTCTCACTGGCCCCATACAGCCACTCCATGTCCACATTCAGAGACCTGGGGACGGGTGAGCGGGCGGTGAGGGCAGAACACCACCATCATCAAGGGCCATGAACCACATGTCAGACATTAACTCGCTGAAAGCACACAACTGTCCCCATTTTACAGATGAGGACACTGAGGCCTGACAAGTTGAACCCAAAGTCTCAGAGCTGCTGGGACTTTGACTGCAGAGCCTGGGCCCTTTCCTCTCCCTGGGCTGCTCTTCCTAAGGCCACCACACCACCCTCCACTGGCCCAGCCTTTACAGTTCGCAAAGGGCTTTCACATCCATGTCTGCCCTGGGCCCTTCCAGGCAGAGCTCATCCAGGACACAGAGTGGGGCAGCGGTGAAAACCTGACGCTGTCCTCCAGCAGGAAGTCTGGCTTACCCAGGTGCCATCTGTGGAACTGCCACATGGGGGCGCACCAGGACTGACAACCAACTACTCTGGGCAGATGAGCTGGGTGCCCTCAGAGAGGGTCAGCAGTCCCTGTGGCCTGGCCCTGGGGCTGGTTATTGGCCCCTTTCCTTCTGTTTCATCCAGTCCAGGACCTCCCACCTCCAACCTGGGGTGGAGGCAGATGTAGGCGGGGCTGCGCCTGGGAGCACAGGCGCTTGCTTGCTTGCTTGCTCATCTGATCTCACCCTGTGGCCCAGGATGCATCCTCCCTCCAAGGAGGGAGAGGAAGCCACTCCTGCTTCTGGGGGCAACTTCCTCTTCCCAGGCTGTCCCAACCAGCCCCCCACTCCTGCCCAGGAGCCGGCCTCCCATCTAGCAAACGAGGAAACTGAGCCCCAGAGAGGGCCAGGGCCTTACCCACAGGGCTCACCCACCATGCAGCTCGCTGGTGTCATGGCTGAGACTTAACTCTGGGCTTCTCAGCTCCCGGCTCACGTTTTGTCCCTGAACAGTCACTACAGCCACTGGCTGTCAGGGATGAATCTGGCAAAGGCCTGAAGCCTGGGTCTCCAGGACCCCTGACGAGAGGCTGACCCGGAGCAGGTCAGGCAGGCAGGCAGGTGGCTGCCACAGAACCGTCCCAGGAGCCCCCTGATGCTCTGTGGTAGCAACTGCAGGCAGTGGGGGGCCTGCCCCCAGGCCTCTGTATGTGCCATTTTCTCTGCCTGGCTAACCTTCCTCACCCCCCAGGGTTATGCTTCTGAGAAGCCTTTCTGGACCCCAACATGCCACGTGCCTGCCCACCTGCTGGCCTTCCCCTAGGGTGGCATGCGCAGGCTGTGGTTAGGGGTATGTCGGGGTCCGTCAGTGGTATGAGGGCAGGAGGCTCTAGCTTTAGGGAGGGTCTGCTGCTGCTGCACTGGGTCCTAGGCACAGTGTTGGCAGGCCAGGCCCATGCAGCATCTGGGACATACTGGTCAGATGATAGAATAACCCTCCTCAATCTGCCTCCTCCAGGGTCAACTCTAGGTCCCTCCCAAGAAGGCGTTCAGTCCTCTCCCAAGATGGGTGGGTCTGGGGAGCAAAGGAGGGGCAGAGACTAGGGGGGGGGCCTCTGGGCACCTGCTCCCACCCTGGAGCCGGGGGATGGGCTGGGCCAAAGATCCTACCTGTGGTTGGGCACGAACAACCGGAAGTCGCGGACGTGGGTGGCATCTTTGGAGAGGATGATGTGGCCGGTGAACTGGCCGGGTGAGAACCAGAAGGGGAAGTCGGGCGGCTCACTGAGCTGGAACTCAGCGTGGATCCTGCAGGGAAGGAGCCCAGCTGGGAGCAGGCCCCCCTGAACCGGAGCCCACCCTCTGACTTCCGCCCCAATGCCTGGGAACCCTTGGCCAGGCTCTGTGGGGGACAGGCCTAGGCAGGCGGGAAGGGGAGTGTGTGGGGCAAGGAGAAGGCACGAGGCCCTCCCAGTGCTGCCCATCCGCAGAAGCCTTGTCCGGCTCCTCTGAGCTCTCACAGCCTCTCAAGGGTGTGCGCGACCTGGTGTCACAGCTCTGTACACCCTGCTGTGTGCATGACAATCAGAGCCACCAGCCCTCTGCTAAGCACACTCTGTGCTTTTTCTCTTCCTCCTGGGAGAAAATTACCACCATCCTGATGGACACACGAGGAAACTGGGGCTCAGAGAGCCACAGCTGCTTGGGCAAGACCCTGGGGTGGAAACTGGTGGGAGGGGGCTCTGTGCTGTGCCCTGGAGTCCCAGGCCCAGGGGGGAGGCAAGGGTGGCACTGCGAGGACCGCTCACCGGAACATCACAGTGTAGTAGAAGTCGCTGATGGCAGTCAGGCAGGCGACGGCCCCCTGAGGGGCAAAGCGGGTCTTCACGAAGGGTCGCGGGTGGAACATGCTCAGGAGCCGGTGGATGACGACCTGGGGGGACGGCAGTGGGACCCCAGGATGGCTGGCTGAGCCCTGCTGGGCCCGGGTCCCCTGGGTGAGGGTCAGCTGGGAACCTGCTAAAGGCCAAGGTAGGGATGGGTCCAGAGAGAAGCTGAGAGCAGGTGGGGCAGCATGGGGGGCCAGGTGCAGAGGAGGGGGCTGCGCCTGGGCTAGGGCGTGGGCTGCCCTCACCTCCTTGCCCTTGGGCGGCGGTGGGTAGAAGCGGTTGTTGGACAAATAGCCGGTGAAGACGCTCAGCTCACTGGGAATGATCCACCAGGGCTCGCCCAGCTCCACGTGGCCCCGAGGCGGAAGGAAGGGCCGGAAGTGGCGGGCGGCAAACACAGCGCTTGGCGAGGCTGCGGTAGTCCAGTTGCGGAGGCCGGACAGGGCCAGGCGGGAGACCTGGAGCAGGGGACAGCCGAAGCTCTGGGCCACTGAGAACCACGACTTGGGGTGCCATCCCATATATGGATGGAGGGCTCCCTTGAGCCCCGGGCCAGCCCGCAAGCTGAGGGAGCAGAGGGACTCAGGGAAGGCTCCTGCCCTGGTGGTGGCCACAGGTCTGGCGCTGTCCTGCCAGAGTTGAGGCTCATCCCACCCTCCTTGGCCCCGAGCCTGAGAAGCAGGGCCCCTGCAGCCCAGTGAGGCCCCGCCCATGCGAAAGCAGCTCGCTGGAGGGCCACCCAGGACTAGAACAGGGGGTGGGGGAAGACTTCCTCACCCCCACAACCGGCCTTGCTTTCTACTCCCTGATTCCGTCTCCAAGTCTCTCTGAGGAGGTTAACGTCCCACTGACAAGGTCAGAGTTTGGGTTTGGAGCTACGTCTGAGGAGGGAGGCAGTGACTACCTTTTGAGTGAAATCTCCAAGGTTAAGAGCAGGATGAGGCCACAGACAAGAGTACCCTGTGCCACACTGGCGGGCACCTGAGCAAACAGTCTACCCTGAGCCATTTCCCCATCAGGAACCCGCCTCACTTCTGTCTGATACGCTGATGGGCAGCCGAGAATGAGGGTCAGAGGCTGCAGGCCTGTCTGTGCACCTGCCTGGGGCATGCGGGGCCCCTGGGGGACGCTCTACCTTCAGTAGCTCTCCCTGCCCTTCTGGGCTACAGGCAGGAGTCCCGTCTTGCTGAGGCATCAGCCACCAGGACAGTGAGTGCCAGGCACCCCTCAGGGTGTTCAGTCCCCAGGGAGCGACCTTCATCTTTGACAGCAGCAGGTCCGCTCTCCCTTCCCCAGCTCCATGGTGATGGGGGCCCAGGCTCAGTGGGAAGCAGAGGTGGGAGGAGAGAGGTGCAGGGCGCTGCCACTGAAGGGGTTGAACAGGCAGGTCCTCAAAGCAGGGCTGGCTGTGCAGGGCCAGGCAGAGCCTGCCCGCCTACCTGCCGGGTCCAGCTCATAGGCTTGGAGAGTCCCTGCTGGGGAGCTGTCTGCAAAGTGGGGCTGGGCTCTGTGGGGCTCTGCTAGGGAGGCCAGGCTGGGGGTGCTGCTCCTGACCCATCTGCCCTGTCAGTGCACGTTCTTATCGCTCTGCGGGTGACTCATATGCTCAGACAGATTCAACCCCCACTCCAGGCTCATCACCACCAAACCCAACCCCACCCAGAGCTTCCCATGGAAGGTCAAACCTGTGTTTCGAACCGCTTATTGAATTTTCCCCTGGACATCCCCCAGGCGCCTCAACTTCAACATGGCGATCTGACCTCGTTTCCTCCCCACCAAACCTGCTTCCTCCAGTCCCCACGGAGGAAATGGCCACCATATACCTGGTCACCCGCCAGAAGCCTGAATCTCCCCAACTCCTGCCATCAAATCCCTTTTCCCCCAACACACACATTCCATTAGTAGCCGCGTCCTGCCTTTCCTCCTTTCCCAGCACCCTCCAGGCTGTCCTTCCTCCATCACCACTGCCTCCCTCCCAGGAACTGGTCTGTCTGCTTCCCATTTCGCTCCAGCTGCCAGCCTGGAAAGCATAGATCTGATGCGGGAACTCTCCTATTTCAACACCTGCTATGGTGTTCTGCTGCTGCAGAACGAAGGCCAAGGTCAGACAACAGAGGCTCTTCAAGGTCTGGTAACGTCTCTCCCAGCCCCACTGACTGGGATGCCTCTGCATGTGTCCCATGTACCCTGGGTCCAGCCATACCCACTCCCTGCCCTCAGGCCAAAGTGACATTTCAGCTGAGATGTAAAGGCTCATCTGTGGGTGTGGGTGTGGGCTGGGCATGGGGAAAATGCTCCTGGCTGAGGGAACGGCATAGAGAAGGCTCCCAGTTAGAAGAAAGCCCGGATGTCTGAAGTGTTTGGAATAGAGAAAGCCAAGTGGAGAGAGCAGGAGAGAGGCTGGGAGAGGCAGGCAGGGTCTGGGGATGCCTAGGTCCCATCATAGGCTTGAGACCTTGTCCACAGGACCTCGGTCGGGGAGGGGGGCGCTGGTTAGCATAGCATTTGTCAGGCGCCTTCCCCACCCCACGGCCCCCTGTCAAGGGCAGAACCTCAGGTCCAGTTCATCGGAGTTCTACAGAGCACCTGTCAGGTGCTGGGCATTGTGCTAGGGACCTGGGGATACACCAATGTGGGGGACACAAGCCTGGCCCTCAACAAACTCACAGCCTGGATGGGGGAAAAGAATGACCTGCAGAAAGTAATGATTATGAGTGAGGCACTTGCTTTCCTCCAACCAGGGCCTGCCTACCCCTGCTGGCACCTGGCCAAGCCCTCCTCCTCCTGGAATGACAGATGTCACTCCTCCAGGAAGCCATCCCAGATCCCCCATCTGGGTTAGAGGCTCATGCTTATCCTCCCCCATCAGACTGTGTGCCTGGGCAGCAGGGAGGGCTTTGCATCCACTTCTGGACCCTTAAGACCTGGCACATTGAGAGCACAGAGGGCAGCTGAGAAAGGAAGGAAAGAAAGAAGATGAAGACAGCCCCATTCTCAGGAGGCAAGTGCACACAGATGATCCTCTTGTCTGTGGCCCCATCTGTGGGGACCCCTTTCCACCCCCATAGAACTTACCCCCAGGAACCCGTCTTTGCTCTTGGTCATAGACTCTGGGAGCAGTGGCTGGAATCGGGCTTCTATGGTGAGCGTCTCCTCGCTGGGGTCAGGGGGCAGCTCCTCCTCCTCCTCGTAGCTGGCTGTAGGAGTTGACCCTACAAGACACAGATCGCTGGAGGGGGGCCCTGCCCTTAAGCATCTAAACTAGCGGGTGACTAAGGGAGCCAAGCTTGGAGCTGGGGAGTAACAATTACAATCACCAAAGTAATAACCAATATGAATCGCATTTTAGTTGCACATAGCCCTGTGAGGCAGATATATTACTACCAACTCTGTTTTACAAATGAGAACGTGGAGGCTCAGAGAGGTGAAGTCACTTCCCCAGGGTCACACAGCTAAGTAGTGGGGAATCAGGATTCAAACCCAGGCCTGTTGTACTCCAAAGCCACAATTAGCCACAACCCTCTTCTGGGGGAGTGCAGATCTCAAAGGCTCAGGAAGAACCAAATGACCCAAGTTCAAATGCCAACCCCACACCTCACCAACTGTGATGGTTGGCCAGTGGCTTGTTATGAGAATTAAGTGAGATAATCCATGGTGTTCTCATTAGGCCTGGTACAAAGCACATAGTAAGCTTTAGCTGTGCTATTATTACCAGAGGTTTCGGTATCAGGGAGCCAGGAAGCTGGAGCTCAAAACTAATTCTCCTGACTCCAGCCAGTGCTCTTTCCACTAGGCCAGGCTGGCTGCAGACAGGCCATTCTCACTTTGTCCTTCCCTTTGTCTTCCAAACCAAGTCCCAGATGAATTTGGTGCGGGGCCCACCAAAGGTGGCATGTGGGCAGGCAGCTGCCTCTCCCAGCTGGGATCCTCAGCACCAACGAAAGAAGCTACTTTCTGGGGTTGGGAGAGGAGAACGCATTGGGCTGGGCATCGTCAGCCCAGGTCCAAGGTGAGGTCGGCGCCATTTGCTGGACCATCTGGGGCAAACCACTCAGTGTCTCTGGTTTTCCTACATGAGAAATGGAGACCATGCTGCCAAGCATGTCCCTGTCATGGGGGCCCACGTAGAAACAAACAATGCTCGGACAGGCACTCCGCATGGGGCTCACAGCAATGAATGAAAACAAGAAACAGAATCAGGCCATCTTTGCTGTCACAGAAGAGCACTGGTTTGGGAGTGAGGAGACTCGCTTCTCACCGATGTTCTGGGTGGCCCCATTTCCCCGTCTGTGTAAGGGGGGCTGGACTGGCAGTGGCTGGTCTTGATTCCTCAGCTCTCTTCCTGCTCAGAGATCTACCAAGTCTGTAATCTTTCAACTGTGGAGGGAGTCACGATGAAGGTTTAAGGGAGAAACGAAGCCTATTTCAAAATGGGGGACTAATAGGAGGGTGGGGTCCCAGGACACCCATAACGGGACAAAGCAGGGGTGGGTCTTGTCACATCTGCTGTCCCAGAGCAGGTTAGTGGTACAGAGACTAGGCTTGGCATTTGGGGACAGACTGACCGACTGAATGGGTGCATTTGAAGCAGTTCTTCATCAGGATCATCAGAATTACCCAGGATATGGTTTGAAACCACAGATCCCAGAGCCTGCCTCAGACCCACTGAGTCAGAATCTTAAGGGGCTAGAATCAGCCCCCCCCCCTTTTTTTTAAAAATATTTTTATTGGGGAATTGGGGGGATGGGAACAGCGCTGGGGAATTGGGGGAAGGTGATCAGACAAGTTGCTATCCTTTTGTTCTTCAGTCTAGTGTGGAGGACGTTGCTTCACTGGCCCAAGTTGGCACAATCATTGTGCTCTTCCCAGGCGAGGTAGATCAGTCACCGGCTTCTGGACAGCCACTCACGCTGGCTGCTGGCCACTCACGCTGGCTGCTGGCTACACACGGTAGCCCATGGCAACCCACTGCCACAG